GGGGGGGGGGGGGGGGGCATCGGCAAATTTTACTTCAAACTAATTTCTAAAACTCACGGACGTTGTTCTTTCAGGAAATAACAAGCCACAACGAAACATGTCAAGGCAGCAGTGGAAGTGCGGCAAACGTTTGCTTCATAGAAGTTAATCTTGCGTTCAAACACTAATGACGCTCTAAGCTGCTACTTCTTGGTTTTTTTTATTTCTTGAACACTTACACTTCATTACATTAAAAGTCACTTAATTTTTTTAGTCAGTTTCAACTATTTATCATTTCATAAAATATTGCTCTTTTGTTTTGAACTTTAATTGTACGAAGATGAGAGACTAGATGTTGTTTCCTGCGCAATGATTATTCAAATCACCTTAGTCGTGATGGCCGCCGTGTTGGTTTTGACATGAAAGTTGAGTGGCAAATTAAAATTTCTGAAGTGAAAATGAGTTCAAAAATGTGCAAATTTCAACTTCTTTCTTATTATTTCTGATAGTTTTTAGTAACCGGGCTATGCTTTTCGTATGGCTATATAAAATACTCTCAATTTTAGGCAATTTTGGTGCATTTCTGAAAACAAAATGTCTTGCTCATATCGCTCAACTAGAGTAATCTAACCATAGTAGTAAAATCAAGATTCCTTTATCTTGCACAATGTTTTACTTTTGAAGACTCCATCTTCCGACAACTCTTGTCTTCCAATGTTTGGTTCCCGAAAGACCACATGGCTAATTTACATTAAACATGAAAACTGTCATGGCGGCTAATGTAAATCGTATCTTTAATGAAGCTAGCGACGAAAATAGCTGACTGTTTGAAGTATAAAATCAGTTCTCGAATGTATTTTAAAGCGAAGAAGAACGGCAAAAAGCAAATGAAATTTTAATAGCTGCTCTAACAAAAGAAAATGTGTGCGAAAGCATCTAGCTGTGAAATGTAGGTATGACCTAGGTACTCTTTCAGTTTTATTTACAACTTAACATGCAGCCAAGATAAATAACTTGAAACGGTAATTTTTTAGCGCTGTGTTCAGTTTGTTACTAGGGAGTTTAGTGACCACGACGGCGATGCCGAGAACAACCTTTACCTACGAATCTCTCGGCCCTCGAAAGTCATTTACTTTGTTTATCATCGTCAAAACTATCACAAAACTAAATCTGGAACACAGCGATAAGTTAGAAACAGAAATTTAAAAAATTGTCCGTAGTGGCTCACGTTCCCCAGAGACCGTAGAATTTGGTCGTTTCACGTTGTTGTTTTGCAGAGGACGGTAAAGAAATGTACCAAGAATTATAACGCACGTGCACAGCCATTGTTCTGCTCATTAAATCTTTTGTTTAGCTACGTTCCCGTTGTCGTTGCCGTCGTAGTTTTCTTAGACTCCCTAATGTCGAGTTGAGCCAACAGTAAAGTCTGATCGGAACAATGCTAAAAAACGAGAGATGTAGTTGTCCTTCGTTTGTAACAGCTAAACTTGCGAATGGCTAGTCTAAGTTTAATCTTTGGTCGTGCCCTGTACACTTGCGCATCAGAAAAACGTAACGTTTATAAAGGTGTGTTGTAATTGAGGTTGCATAAAAGTTGCGTTATTTAGATCGCTATGCAGTTTTGCTGATCATTTGTTAACGCATGTAGTATCGCTTTGTGACGGCAATTTTACGATATTCGATTTTGAGAATGATATTTTTGGTGTAATCATTTCTGGCCCTCCTAAGTCATTACAAGTTAACTATTTAATTGGAACCCGGGTGTAACTTTGTATTGTGTATGTGAATAAAATACAAACCTGGAAACAGCAAGAATTGTGTACAAGTACAATCTATAGTCCCCGCCTCAAAACTACTGCTGCAACAAGGCTCTCTCGGAGTAGTGGTCGTAACTGTCCACAAAAGTGACTCAATTGCAGTTTATCCTTGACCCTCATTCCTTCTTCGTAGAAATTGTCGGCTTCATTTTCCTGCCCAAATACCGCAGCCACCAGATCTTCATGATGTAGTTGTGACAAGGTTATGAAAGTAACTTTTAAGTAATAATAAAGTGTATTATCGTTTGTCTCACGATGTAGTCACTTGAGATGTAGATCGCGACGTTTCGACTGCTTACTGCTAGTCTTCTTCAGGCGAT